CCCCAAAACCCCAAAACCCCAAAACCCCTAGATTATGGCCTATGATTGGGATGCGGTGTTATTGAAGAAGGCATTTAGACTTAGTAGTTGGTCTCTGAGAGGCAGCTGAGTTCGGAGAGATAGTGAAGCTGTATTGAATGCTTAGTGGGTTTTTATATGCACCTTGAAACTTTATGTCATAAAGAGGAGGCTTCAATGTCATTACTGCTTGTTTCATCTCAGCCTCTAAGGCTGGGTTTCTGCCGAAATTCTTTCTGCGAGGAACAATGGAGTTTGAGGTATTAAAACTTACTGTTTTAAGTGAATCTCTTAATCCACATCCTGCTATCATCTCTAATATTCCTAGTGTGGTATATTCTTGTTGTTTACCTTCACCAGAGCTTCATCTTAAATATCAAATTGCTGTCGTTGTAAACTCCTTCTTTGGAAAGTAGATGTCCTCAGTACCCATATGACAATTAGCAAACTGTATGTCTTGTATATGGGAGCCACAGAGCAAGACCCTCTTGTGCCATCTCTTCGAGATTACGAACTCATTAAGTATAAGTGATGACTGAGTCAACTGCATCAAACCGAGAATCGAGGAAGTTTTACAGGATGTAGGAATTGAAGAATTTCGCATATTTATAGCATAAATATTAAATCTACCCTTCTTAGAAGACATAAGATGACGCCCACTGACATTTAGACCATGGATGCTTGTGCTTTGCCTAAGATCTTTGATTTTTATCGTTTTTGAGGCAATATAAAGTTCTTCTTTTGGATCTACAGGTCTAAAACAATAAGATTTTCGGCTGTTGTAAATAACCGGGAGGCCTCTAAATTTTATGAACATGTTAGCTTACGACTTCTTAACACAGCATTTCATATCCCACAGGTTTAGGTATAGAGGGACTTCTTCGAAACCTTTCAAGCTCAGAAGGATCTCCCTATCGAAGATGTCTCCTTCCTCTTTCAGAGATAGTTCGGAAGACTGGTGATTATTTTCCATGCTTGAACTCAACAACAGATTTTATGTTAATTTATGAGAATAGAATTTATCCAATTTAAACTGGATAAGAGGGGTTTTGGGGTTTTGGGGTTTTGGGGTTTTGGGG